TTGCACATCTGGCCAGGCAGAGAAAACATACACCTGGGAGATGCCCAGTACTAGGTGACATATCTGCAGTCGAATATTTACAACTAAGGCCCATGGGACATAGCGAAATAAGGGGTAGAGAGAGGGCTAATGCACCCCTCAGCTCTCACCAGTGAGGCTTCCACATACATCAGAGTGTGAGGTACACAGAAGGCCACGTCTGGCCACGTTTTGGAGAATAAGAGACTGTAGCATATAGGATGGGACTCCTTTATGGAAACTTAGCCACCCACAGCTCAGGGACTATTGCGGAAGAGGAGGTAGAAAGACTGTAAGAACCAGGGCCGATTCATGATTACAGGGAGGTGGAGGCTTCCAGGCCACTGGAGGCTTGCTCATATGAGCCTGTGGCAGTGGTAGCATCAAGTACAGGATCCATGTCAGCTCAATGAAACAAGGGCCCAAAGGGGAGGTGAGAATTAGGTGGCAGGCCAGTACTAGGTTGAAAACTAATTGAGACTGATTGCTGGTGGGTGAGGGAGATTATGACTTACATACGACCACCGGATGGGCTGACTAGACTCCAGTGGACACATTTACCCGGAAGGACACTTGGATATAAACACCTGAATGAATAGGACTCAGCATGTATGGCAGAGTGTATGGGGTTTGGTGGGGGGATAGGGGAAGGCATTGGTGGGGGTGGGGGGGTCTGGATTTGAGTGGGAAATGTATGAAATTTAAAAAGCTCAATTAAAGCTGGGCGTGGTTGAGCACACCTGTAGTCTCACCACTTGGGAGGCAGAGGCAGGCAGATCTCTGTGAGTTCAAGGCCAGCCTGGTTTACATAGTGAGTTCCAGGACAGCTGGGGCTACAGGGAGACCCTGTCTCAAAAAGATCAAAAAAAAAAAAAACCCAATTAAAAAAAGAAAATAATATTTTAAAATAAATGTCTTCTACTTAAAAAATAAAATAGATACAGATTTTAAGGAAATGGATGAAGCTCATGGGAAGAACACTAGCCCAACCATAGAGAGACAAATTCGAGTTCCTGCATTTACCATTAACCACCCCCTCTGTCTGTGGCTCAGTCTCCCTATCATATCCACCCCCCCATCCATTTTACTCAGGCTTTATGCATTTTCCACCAAAGCATAAGAGTTAAAAAGGTTCATGTGAAAGGACTGGTAGCAATTAAATGTCTTAATATAGGAAGCTGAATTCGTGTTCCTGTTTAAGTAAATTCTTAGCCACAGGACAAGTTGCCCACACAATGCGTAAGGCAGTGTTAGGAAAGCCTAATCTCTCTTTCTAGCAATAGATGGGGTTAGTGGGCATGATAATGTGCACTTGCCAAGTTACAGACTTTCCCTAAGAATGCAAAAGCATTAGGGTCAAAGAAATTTAGGGTCTGAAAGAACAACAGACTTATGCACAACTCCTGCATTTACTTATGTGGAACTGAGTCCAAGGTCACAGTTTGACACAGCTAAGAGTGGAATCCAACTCTCATCTTTCCTGTGGTGGTTTGAATGAGGTGTCCCCCACAAGCTCAAGTATTTGACACTTGATCAGTTAGTGGCAATATTTCTGGAAGGTCATGGAATCCTTGGAAGATGCAGCCTTGCATGTAAGGGGCTTTGAGAATTCATAGCCATGTTCCATTTGCAGTTTTGCTCCCTCTGCTTCTGTGCCTGATGGAAGATATGGGCACTCAGCTTTCTGCTTCCACTGCCCTCTGCATGCCATGCCTCTCCTGCTACGATGGACTCTTGTCCCTCTGGAACCATAAGCCAAATTAACTCTTCCTTCTACATGTTGCCTTGATCATGGTGTTTTATCACAGCAACCTACCCTCTTTACTCAATACTTTCATAAGTAAACAAAGCCCAAACTCAAGATTTCATGGGAGTACAAACTTCATTTAGTCTAGGCTTTTCATTATTTTCTAATGGGAAGGAGTTCTCTAAACATGAAGCTTTTGTTGTTGTGATAGTATTTTATCACAACAAAAAGTAACTTAGGGGAGGGAGGGTTTATTTTATCTCACAATTCCAGGTCACAGTCCATCATAGTAGAGAAGTAAAGGCAGCAGGAGCTTGAAGCAGCTGATCACACCACATCCACAGTCAAGAGTAGAGAGAAATGAATGCATGTGTGCCTGGTACTAGGGTTACTTTCCCCACCCTTATACAGACCAGGAACCAAACCCAGGGAATGGTGTTACCCACAGTGGGCTGCACCTCAGTTAATGCAATCAGGACAACCCCCTACATATCTGCCCACAGGCCAACCTGATATAGACAATCCCTTACTGAGATTCTCTTTCTAGGTGATTCTACATTGAGTCAGGTTGACAAAACTAACCATCACAATTGCCAATGTCACAAACAGGACTCCTAAGTAGTTCTTTTGGGTACCTAATTTTGAAATAGTCAACTAATTTCTCACGTTATTGTATAAAATTATATATAAAATGATTCAGAAATAAAATTTATTTCCATGTTATACTTAACCGAGGTCATTTTTAACCTAAAATTATGATGTATTAATTTTTCAGATAGAGATATTTAGGAGTGTCTTAAAATTCAAAAAATAATAAGAACATGATTTGGTAAACATGAGGAGCTGTCATAATATTTCAAATAATTCTGAGGAGGTATAGTTACTATCAGCACCAATTCTGTAGCATACCACCTAGTTCATAATCTGTTCCACCATTTCCTAGCCCTGTGACCTTAGGCACATTTCTTCTGTATGTCTATGTGTGTGTGTGCACATGTGTGTTCAAATTGAACATGCAGGAGTGAAGATGTAAGGGTGCAGGTGTGTATATGCACCATACCCATGTGGAGGCCAGGGGACAACCTCAGGTTCAGTTCTCAGGCATCTAATACATTTTTGTTTCAAGACAGTATCTCTCATTGGCCTGGAACTTTGCCACATAAGCCAGGCTATCTGCCCAAGAGCTTCCAGTGCCCCCCACCCCAGCCCCCCATCTATACCTCCTGTCTTAACATCAATGGTATCATAACACATGCCACTGGTCTGGCTTTTTCTGTAGGTTCTGGGAATCCAAACTTGGGTCCTCATGCTTGTGAGGCAAGAACTTTACTGAGTCATCTCCTGAGCCCAACATTTCTTACCTTCTTCCAGTCTCAGAGTCTTTGTCACAAAATAGGGACACTAATACAAAATAACTTTAAAAACTCTAAAACTGATCTTCAGTATAAATCCAGATGAGCTGGAAATCAATTTCAAAACATAACTCAATATTATGGGATGAATATTTAGGAACTATCTCCATAATATGCAACTATAGCTCCATGAACTATAAGGTCACTAATGGTACCCAGGACATACCAACATACAGTATCTGAAGGTAGTGACCTTCCTTAGACCTCTAAGAAATATTTACTCCTGTCAAAGAAGATCTGGCTAAACCATGATGGTTTCTAATAGGGTCTCATGAACTCTATGACAGAATATAATAAGAAACAAAGAGGAGCCAGTCATGGTGGCACATGCCTTTAACCCCCCTAGCACTTGGGAAGCAGAGGCAGCCAGATCTCTGTGAGTTCAAGGCCAGCCTTGTCTACATAGTGAGTTCCAGGCCAGCTGGGGCTACAGGGAGACCCTGTTTCAAAAAGAGTCAGCTACCTTGAGAGGTCTCTAAAAAGTTTTGAAGCGCCCAGCTTCTCCTTTTTTTTTTTTTTCACTTTTTTGGGGGGAAGAGGGGGACAGAGGGAGAGAAGGAGAGAGGGAAAGAGAAAAAACCAGTACCCAACAGTAAGCACTACAGATTATTGTATTCAATATGGTCATAATCACATCAGGATCTTATAAACCCATCAGCGATGGGGATAAGAGAGAGGAAAGTCTAATTGTGTAGGCCTGACCAGTGGATCCAGGAAACTAAGGGTTACCACTCTGTAGCTGTGTAATTCCTCACCTGTCATCCAATTTAGGCAAGCTGTTTCCTCGCCTGTAGAGGAGGTACAAGATAACTACCTCATGGGCTATTTGAAAAACTAAGTTTAAAGACAATAAAACGCCTCTTAATGTTCTTGCTATTCTTAGTCATCTAATGTGGACACAATTTGGGTATACCTATCACAGAGACTTTTCAAAAGGGACAGAGAAGATACTCAGAAGGGCTTGATCCACTGGTAGATGTGGAAAGAATATCAATAACCCCCAAGAAAATCATTTGATGTCGGTTTCACTCTAGGGATGTTGAGAACCTGGGAAATGACTTCAATTCTTTGGTGGTGTTACAAGTGTGATCTAAATTGGGGTGCAGGTGCTGCAGCTTTCAAGTTCTCGTGCCTCTTTACAGTGAATTGTACAGAGACAGTGGATAGTTACAGGAAAGGACAGTTTCTTAAAGAGGAGATACACTGGAGGTGTACCATATCTCACCTGTACCCTAGCTCTAAGAGAGCAAAAGAGGGATTGAGGGGAGGGCTGGAGAACTTCTGTGGGTCATTATACTCGCCTCTCCCAAGTTCGTCTAACACAAGCTTTTCTGACCATGACTCCCTGGTCCATGAAGCCAGGTAGATAAGGACTCCCAGTCTTTGGGGGGTCGCCACCATCTCTGGAATTCCCTTTTCAGCTGTTTCCTAGTCCATCTCCTGACCTGTGACCGCTGGACTAATGAGTTACCAGAGTGGATCCCCGTACGGCCTCTCTTTTTAACTACCCAGGGTCACAGAGCTCTCCCTCTTCTCCATCCTTCCTCCTCAGGACCCTAGGGACCCTTCTTCATGGGGGTTCACAAGGACAGCACCCAGAGCTCCCAGAAAGCCCTTCTCCCCGACCTTTAGAAAGCGAAAGCCAGAGCTGCATTCAGCTACCCTGGGAGGAGGCTAGGGGCCTGGCTCAGATGCCGAGCATGCGCAAAGGGCGGGGCGGGCATGGGCCTGGATGGAGCGGCGGGTCAGGGAGTAAAGTCCCTGTTGAGCCGGGGGTACCACCAGTGCCTCTGCCTCTCAAAGGCGGCCCGGCCGCGGTGTACCTGGTAGCGGCCGGTGAGCAGCTGGCTGCGCGAGGGTGTGCACAGCGGCTGCACGTAGTAGTTGTCCAGGATCACCCCGCCTGCCGCCAGCTTGTCCAGGTGCGGCGTGCGGATGACCGAGCCATGGAAACCCACATCGTTCCAGCCCAGGTCGTCGGCCAGCACGAAGACAAGGTGGGGCGGCTGGGCGGCCCCGGAGGCCCAGCCCCACGACGGCAGCCCAGTCTGCAGCAGCAGCAGCAGCGGCAGCAGCGGCGGCGGCGGCGGGCTCCACCGGGCTCTGCTCCTGGTGCATCCTCCCCGCGCGCCCATCCTTCGTCGCCGGTACTGCGGGTGCTGCAGGAATCTTAGACAGAATCAGGAACTGGGTGTCTGGGCCGGGAGTGGGACTTCACCTGGGCGGGCCGCCGGAGGCCGCTCATTCACGCCCTTTGCTTCCCAGCCCCGCCGGGGAGGAGCCAGAGGAGAGGAGCGCGTGACAACGCCGTGGGTGCTTCCAAGGCACAGAGGCTAGTTACGGTTCATCGGTTCATCGTTCGTAGAGATGAACCTGGCATCCAGTGGATGTATGCTCTTTTCAAAGTTACACTCCGTTTACATCCTTCATCTGATTAAATCTTGCTGCAACTCTTAGAGCTAGGCTTTATAATTAGCACCCCCCTCCCCCCGAAGAAACAAGTTTTTGAATGATTGGACCCCTGACTCCAGATCCTGAGCTGCGTGTGCTGTTTAACTAGCAAGTCATGTCTAGTTGAAGGGCCTGGCTTGGGGCAGGTGGGAAAATAGAGAAGAAAACCGTGCAAATGGTGTTTCAGATTCACTAAGGAACAGTGTACACCCGTGAAGCCACTTCCTTTCAGTTAGCAATGAGCCAGACACATTCCGACTGCACAGGATAGTTTTGAAGGTGCCATTTTACTTCTAAATTGTCTTCGAATTGTTTGGGGTGTGTCCATTTGAGACTTTTTGCTTACTCAATGTCTAGAGATAAATGATAACTGTTAGGTGGAGGAGAAAAAAATTGCACTGCTTGAAGAACACACCCTTTCAGGCTGAGTCTGAGTCCTGGGGATTATTTTACAACTTTATAAGTTGTAGATAAATGGTAACCATAAAAAATAATCCTTGCGGGGCTAGAGAGATGGCTCAGCAGTTAAGAACACTGTTGTTCTTGCAGAAGACCCTGGTTCGAATCCCAGCATCCACATGGCAGCTAACAACTGTCCTAACTCCAGTCCCAGGGGATCTGACAGCCTCTTCTGACCTCTCTGGGCATTGCACTACACGGATGCACTTACCCACATGCAAGCAATACATGCATAGACATAAAATAAAAATAAATAAAATTTTAAAAAATAATAATCCTTGTTTATGGAAAAGAGTTGAGTGCACTGGAGTGACAAACCTTCCTCTCCACACCACCATCAAGAAAAAATAAATTCAACTCCACTGGCACAATCTTCAATATTCTTTGTATTGTTTCTTGTATGGTTTTAACACCTTATCAGTTTCTTCATTAGTAGTTAAATAAAATCTTACTATTTATTCATTTCTGTATTTGTGTAAGAGTAATGATTTTTCCTTTTTTGGAAAATTACCCTTTAGTGCATGCTTCCCTCTGAAAGTAGATAACCACTTTCCATCCTTAGTGGAATCAAAAAAATTTAGCAAGAAATTTTTTAAAATTAGCATTAACTTAAAAAATAAAAACCAAATAATTTTGAAGAGCTGTTTGTTACCAGTGTGTTGAGGTTTTAACTTTTTATTTAAGGATTCTGTAGAAGGAGACTAATTTCCACTGTGGCCTTTGCATGTCTTTCTGTTCCATAATTGTCCTCCCTTTACCCCTTCCACTTTTGAGCCAGGTTCTCACTATATAGCCCAGGTTAGCCTCCTACATCTGTGTATCCTCCTGCCTCAGCCTCCTAAGCATTAGAGGTATTGGGATTGCAGTCATATACCACTATGTCTTTCCCTACCCTTCTTGATAAAAATCAAATAGCCCATACAATTGGCAGCTATTTAGTTCCTCCTTTAATTATTTCTCCTGAAGCTGAGCCTGTGCATTCTCATGTCTTGCATTTTCAAATAAAAAGCACACATTAGTGGTGCTCCAGAGAAGTGCAAACAGAAGAGTTGATTCTGTTCATCCTCTTTGTGCCAAGCACTGGTGACCTGCATGCAACACAGCTAGTTATTTTGTAAAAATCTCCCAACTAGTATTTGTCTGCTGCTTCCTCAACATTAGATTCAGGTTACAGCTTTGTACAAAAATGCACAAAAGTGATGTGACATGCTTCTTGGTGCCCCAAATAGAGAAGCACTCTGTTGATTTGCTCTCTTATGGAATCACTTTGTTAGGGCATCAGTTCTCCACTGCAAAGTTACCATTTTCCCCTCGTAAGTACTAAGTATGCCTCAGACTTTTGATGCTTGGTTTTCATTTCTTCCATCAATTTTAATTAGGATGGCTGCCAATGGTGATTTTCTAGTCTCATCATTTGTTCTATAGTTAGTTTCCTTTCCGGAGTTTCCGTATTTCCTGTGTATTTGTTTCATCATGAATTCTTAGATTGTTTTAATCAGCGTGCTGTAATCCTTTAGCATAATTATTTCAATGCTTGAATGTTCCCTGACTTGCCCATGGGAGTAGATTCTCATGTCCTTTTTTCATCTCTGAACTTTATTTTTTGGTATGTTGAGATTTTTCCAGGCCCATTGTGTATTTTTCCTTCATCTGCTCTGGATATTTCTTTAAGGAACTCTGAGCCTTCTTAGTGAAAGATGACCTTTAGAAACCAAAACCTGTGCTGCCAGTGTGCTGCTCCCTGGGCTGTAATTGCTTCTGGGTGCTCTCATCAGATAGTCAATAAGAGCTAGGCATGTTTATGCACATACACACTGCAGGAAGTTCTCTGAAGAAGCCACAACTGTGTTGAAGATTGATTAAAACTTCATGATTATGGAAAGAAACAATGTTGCAAGTCAAAAGCCAAAATCCTGGGGCTGGAGAGATGGCTCAGTAGTGGTTAAGAGTGCTTGCTGCTCTTGCAGAGGACCCAGCTTTGATTCCCAGCACCCACATGATGGCTAACAACTATCCATAACTCCAGTTCCAGGGGATCTAATGCCCTTTTCTGACTTCCGAGGGCATTGCACTACACAGGTGTACTTAACACATGCAGGCAATCTACTCATACACGTAAAATAAAAATGATAAACATTTTTTAAAAGCCAAAATCCTGTTGGGCTATCTTCAGTCTCCCTAATTACTCACCTTTGAATCTGACCTAACTTCTTTATGACAATTAGGCAAATCTTTTGGAATGGGTTAACTCAACAAACCACTGGTTTCTACCAACTCTAAAGCTGAATGTTATAAAGCAGCAAATGAAGTCAGTAGAAAAGATTGCTCTGCTCTACTCCAACCTGCCTACCTGATGTCCCCACCAGTGTAATGGTGCATGCATAGACAGATGGTTTTCTTCTGTTTGGTGATGACACAAGTTCATGTGACCCCTCTACAGTAAAACAGTCATTCAGGGAAACATGAATCTGAATTCCTGGGCCATGGTCAATTCATATTTGGCTCAAAATAAACTATATCCTACTCACTTTAAAGCAAGAATTGTGTTTTACACCCAACACATATATAACTGTTCATATACATACCCACATACTATATCTCTGTGAATCTATCTATATAAAGCTATGGGCTCATAGTGGATATCTCCAGTTCTGGTTTCCTCCCCTTCTAGATGTGTATGGGTTATAACAATTTTCATTACCACCAGCTACTAATAAGTACTGAACTGAATAGTTAAGCATATTCTCACAAACTAACCATACTCTTACCCTATGATCTACCAATGCCGTACCTTGGAATATATCCAAAGGAGTTAAAAACTTAGGTCCACACAAAAACCTGTACACATGTTCGTAGTGTTACCAATTGAGTTTGTCTAGGTGCTGTTTGAAAAGACCAGTGACTTGGGGCTGGAGAGATGGCTCAGCAATTAAGAACACTGGCTATTCTTGCAGAAGACCCAGGTTCGAATCCCAGCACCCACATGGCAGCTAACAACTGTCTGTAACTCCAGTCCCAGGGGATCCAACAGCCTCTTCTGACCTCCGTGGGCATTGCACAACATGGGTGCATGCGGGCAATACATGTATACACATAAAATAAAAAAATAAATTTTTTTTTTTAAAAAAGAAAAGGCCAGTGACTTGTGGACAAATGGTTGGGGCATGAATAAAGTTTTTTTTATTTGAAACTCAGAAAACCAAAGAAGATGGAAGGCTATTGCCAAGGAAGACTGCCTTAACTCAGCCTAGCTTTCAAGCTCCTTTGTCCCTAGGAAAGGAGCCTGAATGGGAGCTTAGGCAGAACTGAGCAGAAACCTGATCCAGAAGGTAAGGTGCAGATTAATCAGATTCATGACTTCTAAAATTAGTGATTTAGAGTCAACTAAAGCTATTATCATATACTTTACTTGCATAGACATTTAGGCCTATTTCTGGGTTTTCTGTCCTAGTCCACTGGACATGGTGTTGCATTGTCTCAGTTATAAGGCTTTAATATATTTTTTTAGTATTTGATAAGGCAAGTGACGTCCCATAGCTTTTCACATTTAATGTTTTCCTAGCTATTTCTGCATATTAATTTTTCATATGAAGTCTCAAGTCAACATGTCTAGTTCCATTAAAGGAGGTGAACATGGTAGCACATGCCTGTAATCTTAGCACTTGAGAGACTGAGGTAAAGAGATGGTGAGGTCAAGACTAGTAAAGTAAGAATTGTTTCAAAAAATAAAAATAATAAAAAGTTTTTTGGTCTTCTTATTGGAATTGAATTAAGTTTATAAATTAATTTGTGGAGACCTAAACTCTTTGTGGTATTCGGTTATGTCAAAGAAGAGGTACTTTTCCATTTATTAAGATCTACTTTTTTTTTTTTTTTTTTTTTTGGTCGTTTTTGAGACAGGGTCTCACTGTGACCCCAGCTGGCCTGGAACTCTCTATGTAGACCAGGCTGGCCTCGAACTCAGTGATTCACCTGCCTCTGCCTCCCAAGTGCTGGGATTAAAGACATGTGCCACCACGCCCAGCTTACTTTTATATCTCTTAGGAATACATTCAGATTTTCCTCCAATATTTTGCACTTTTCTTATTAAATGAATTCCTAAGTACTTTATTTTCTCTGTCGCTATTGAAATGGAGCTGTGTCCATTACTATATCTTTAAAATGATTGTTAGTGGTGAACCTTAAGGTTTTAATCATGTAAAAAAGATAATGTGCGCTGGATGTGGTGGCACATGCCTCTAATCCCAGCATTCAGGAGGTAGAGGCAGATGGATCTCTATGAGTTCAAGAACAGCCTAGTCTACATTGTGAGTTCTTGACCAATCAGGGATATCATGAGACCCTGTCTGAAGAAAAAAAAACGTACTATGGAACAATCTCCAGTTTATCCTTTTTATAGTTAGTGAAAGTTGTGCTTGATATGCTTTTATTTGCTTACAGTATATGTGAGGGAGACAGCCTATTCACATAGTATTTCAAGAAGGCTATGAAGGAATTAGAAAACTGGTTGCCCCTAGGTAGACAAGTTGACCAGATAAAGGGATGGGAAATAGACTTAATTTTTCACCATACACCCTTCTATACCTTATAGTGGTTAAAATTTCTGCATAGTATTATCAATTTCTTCTTGATCATCTATTACTACCATTATTATTAATAATGTCAGAATTTTCAAATTGCAAAAATGTGCTCAGACAAAATTTGAGCAATCTGCACCTTAACCTTTGGATCCAGTTTCTGCTCAGTTCTGCCTAAGCCCTTTCCGCCTATTTACCTAGGATTGCTAGAATTTGCTGATCTTTGAACAAACGGCTAAATCCTAAGGGCCCTGCACTAGGAGATCACACAGCTCCTCTTACCCAGCCTCTTGACCACTGTTTGCAAGCTAAGCTCAGAAATCAGAACAACTGTGTTTCACTGCTTCTCCCCAACCATTTTTGTTTTAATATCTTTGACTATGCTGAATATTGCATAGAAAGGCTAAGCAATTTTAAGCATTTATGTCTAAATGTTTAACCGTTGGGATGTGTGAAGAAAATCTACCCAACTGCTAGATAAGAGTGGTAAGAGGTCTTTCTTCAGGGATAACAACTGCGTTTGCATGTGCTAAGTTGT